TCTGTTAAGGAACTTAAGTTAAGTTAATATTTAGGGTATAGAGTTTACGGAGGTTAGGGTTTGGGGTTTAGGGTTTAGGGCTAAGGGTTATTTAATAACCTTTTTCTGGGTTGCTGTCAAGGAACTTAAGTTAAGTTACCACAATGGGTATATATAGGGATAATGGAAAAGAAAATGGAAACTCCTATAATGGGGTTATATAGGGTTCAGGGCTTAGGGTTTAAGTTACTATATTATCCCCTAGAATGGAGAATCAAATGGAAAAGAAAATGGAAAATGAAATGGAAACTGAGGGAATTATAGGGATTTAAGGAACTTAAGTTAAGTTACCATAATGGGTTTAGGGTTTAGGGTTACCATAATGGGTATATGTAGCAAATAATGGGGTTTCCTCAATGTAGTAACTTAATTTAAGTTCCTTAGCAGCAACCCAGTTCTTCAAGGGTTGCGGGTTTCAGGATTTTAGGGTTAGGGGGTTTAGGGGTTTTATGGTTTTAGGGTTTTGGGGTTTTATGATTTTAGGGTTTGGGGTTTTAGGGGTTTGTGGTTTTATGGTTTGAGAATATCCGGTATTTTAAATGGCCTCAACTCCTTTAAGGGGATTCTCCAGAGTATTAGGGGTTTATAGGGCTTAGGATCTCAACTCCTTAAAGGGGGTTCCATAGGGGAGTACTATACTGGATCAGTGTTGGGGATCCGTTATTTATACTTTTTGGGGTATGGGATATGTATGTCTGAGGATACTTTTTTCTTCCTGAGGTGACCTAAGTATGGGGGTTATTCAGGGGTATACTAGGAGATTTTCTACTATAGCTCATCTTACCATTGTTGCTATTCGGTCTTGTTGGTATTATTGATCAATTTTGTTTATTCTTATCGTGATTATTGGCGTTGATATGATTATGGCTATTGCTTTTGTTGCTACTGCTGCGCTCTCTCTAATTTTTGGGGTCCAACCCCTAACAATGACGCTCCCAGAATAGGGGTTTAGGGTTTAGGGTTATGAGGCTACCCGGGTGCTGAGAGCTCTGGGGATTAAGGTAACCCTAAACCCTAAACCCTTCAGGGCATGGTTTGGGTTCCCTATAACCCCAAACCGCTAGGAGCTCGTGGAATTGCGTAGATGGCCTTCTAAATTCTAACAATGGCCTGCGAAGGTCCAAGCGGGCGCCGAAGCACATTAAACATGGTAGGGTATAGGATTTAGGGCTTTAGGTCTCTCTTCGAGAATGTGAATGCAACGTGATCATCCTCATGACTAGCGTAAATCTTCTTGTTATTCTCGTTGTGTTATCACCATGAAAATTACGTAGGGGCATGCTTGTTGACATACTTCGATATGGCCCCCATGTCTGGCATCACATACACAAAAGCAAGTTTTCTCTACGTAGCGAACTAAATAACTAATCCACTAGGAAATCCAGCACGCATCTTTTTGATCAGTTAGTTCTGCTTCACAAAGAAGACATGTTCCCTTTAACTATGTGATGCCATTCCTTCATAAAACCAACAATCTAGGAAATAACTGGCATCCGGAATTGACATTTTCTTTTTCTTCAGAATACCCTCATTACAAACGTAAATAAACAAACAGTACAAATCTAGGCAAAGGAATGCCTAACATTTGACCCCCGAACCCTAAGCCCTAAAGCGCTTGGCCCCTGCACTGTGGGGTTGCTTTCGTGGATCGGCGTTCGCTCCCTGCGAAGGGTTTAGGGCTCGGGGGCGCTTCCTGAGAATTATCCCCTTAATATCAAACCCCTTAATATTAGGGGGTGGGGGGTGTCAATATTGGGGATTATGACGATTCTCAGCAAACCAGCAAGGCCCGCTTCGTATGCAGACCCGCAAGTCCCTACAAACTTAGAAGGCTGGCACTCACAAGATTGCCCTTAGCTACCGCAATGTCAGGATGTTTAAAGCTCCCCCAAACCCTAAATCCTGACTTTAAGCATGTTTAGACATGTGTGTGTGTGTTGTTTTTTGGCGGAGCTCCTTTGTTTGACCATGCCTTAGCCCTGCGAATCCTAATTTGGGGGGGTTAGGCCCACAGCCATTCATACTGGTATAATGTGGGTATAGGGAGCCTTAGGGTTCAGAGTTTGGAGTTTCGGGTTGTGCAGGTTGGATCGGCACCCAACAGAGGAAGAGGCCACACGAATGCTAAGAACTTATGAAGAACTTGCGATGACTTGCGCACGTGACGGCGTATGAGTACAGAAATTAGTACGGGTATTTCGCAGGGATTCGGTGTTAAGGAATCTGTTTTATGGTGGTTTTTGTGATGGGAAATTTAAGTTCTAGGGGTATGATTTTGGCCTCGCTGTTGAGCTGTTGGTAAAACGAAACATGCTTGAAGTTGAGCACATACCAGGGTTTTTCGTTTAAGGGAGCCCAAACAAACGGCTGTGTGCCCTCCTGAAACCGTTTTGCGGTTTAGGATTCAGGATGTAGGGTTTAGGGTTTAAAGTTGAAGTTAGTTAGAGGGCATATTGGATAATGGAAAAGAAAATGGAAACGGGTTTGGGGTAGGTGTTAACTCTGTTTTTTCCTGCTTCGGGCCTTCCCACGCGTCTCAACTCCCTGGGCCTTTATGCCCTTGTTGGATGATCTTTTGGGCGGTTTAGGGCGCAGGATTTCATTCCTTAGGTAGCCCGACCTAGTACTTGCTTAACTTAGTCGATAAAAGAACTTTGACCTCTTTGGCCTTCTTTTTCGGAACTGTGAACAAAGTTTCAACTTGTTTAGCCCTGCCTATTGGGGAAGAGAGAATCGTTCCCAAGACAATATTATGTGCTAGTTTCCAAAAACAAGAGCACCCCACATATAGGACCCAAAACGCTACAATCCTTATAATTGGGACCCCCCTAATAGTATCCCTAACTTTGGAAACCCTCCATCTATATAGACCTAGTTATAAACCCCAATTCTCCTGCTAGTAAAGCAGAGTTACCTGCATCAACGCTAGGGATCCTTGATACTTTTGGGGGTATGGGATTCCTTGTATTTATAGAACTTACTTAGCCAATAGAAGAACTTTAACCTTTTTTGCGGGCTTCCTTTTGGGGTCTCTAGCATCAGGTTCAAACTTTTTAGCCCTGGTTATTGGGGAAGAGAACCCTACACCCTAAACCCTTTTTTCTTCCCAGGGTAATGTGGGCTAAGTTACGTAGTCAAAAGAGAGCCGCGGAGTTGCCAATAGCCACCCTGAGATCTTACAAGCCTTGAGGGTTTAGGGTTAAAGGGTTAAAGGGTTTATGGCTTTAGGGGTTAGGGTTTTAGGGTTTTAGGAGTGTTTCGGCGTGGCCCCCAGCAGTTCGGAGAGAATCCTGGGTTGAAAAAATGGTTTTAGGGGTTGTAGGGCTTTAGGGTTTTAATTAGGGTTTAGGGTATAGGGGTCAGATCATGGGATTTTAGCAAGTAGGTTATAACGGGGATAATGGGGACCAGTACATGGCTTATAGGGGTTGTTAAGGCTTTGGGGCTTAATGTCAGGGCCTACCATTCAAGAAAGGAACATAGAAGTCCACACAAGGCCTTTTTGTTGAGGGCAGTAGTCCCTGCAGCCCCTTTTTGGGTTCCATGTCAGTTTAGTATACTGTTATTTGATGTGGGTTAGTTCAAAGTTCAAAGTTCACGGATGTCCTAAAAAGGTCCTGGAGCCCTGGGTCAAAAAAACTCTAAACCCCAAGCCCTCTAGACCCTAGGATTTCCTAAGATGCTCCTGAAGCCGTACACCCCAAACCCACTAAACCATGAGCCTTTAGCCCCCCAAAAACCTTAGGAGTTCCTAAGATGCTCGGAGGAGCCTTGGAATTAAGTGGTAATTTCCCAAAGTAGTAGGGTTTAGGGTTTAGGGCTCCTCATTAGAGAGACCCCCCAGAATGGTACCCGTAATTTTGGGGAAGCCTAATCCCCAAACCCTAAACCCCTAATTTTGATGGAAAGCCACCAAAATGTCAGACCACTGCCTAAGTCTGGACCAGACTCGAAGCTTGAATCCCATGATGGGTTTAGGGTTTGGGGGTTTAGCTGTTTTGGGTTTGGGCATTTAGGGGTTTAGGGTTTATTGTAGGGGTTTGGGGGTTTAGGTAGTTAGGTTTTAGGGTTTAGGGGTTTAGGTTTTGGGGTCTAGGGTTTTCGAGAGCAGAGATGAATCTTGCGCCGCTCTACATACCCTGAACCTCCAGGAGTTGAAGCATTGCGGGGATCCTAAGTGTTTACTTGGAGGGTCAGGGGAACTTAGTAAAAATGGAAGAGAGAATGGAAGCTACTGTATATTATTTAGGGTTTAGGGCTTAGTGGGGTACTCCTGACAATTTTCACCCTAAAACTTACACTCCCCCAAACTAACATGGAAACCCATATAGCCCCCTTTTAGAAGAACTGTAGTCTTTTTGGGGCCCTTTTGGGGTTTCCATGTTAGTTTCCGGGAGTGTAAACTCTGGATGAGAGTAGGGATCCAGCCATGGCATCAGGAAGGGAGCTGAGTCCTAGGCTTAGAAGGGAGCTACACTCCCCCAAACTAACATGGAAATCCATACAATTCCCTTTTAGAAGGACTCTAGTCTTTGTAGGGCTCTTTTTTGATTTCCACGTTAGTTTCCGGGAGTGCAGCCCTTTGTGTTTTTTTGCTGGTGGAGTGGGAAATAGGCCCAAACCCTTTGTAATCCTCAAGCCCCGAGAAATTCCTTATGAGTTAGGTTGCCTGTAGAGCCCTACTGTTACCCTTTTTCAAAATGCAAACCCAAGAATACCCCGCTTGACAAGTTGAATCACCCTTGAAAAGGCAGGGTTGCTGATAAGGAACTTAAATTAAGTTACCATAATGGGTATATATAGTAAATAATAGGGTTCCCCCAATATAGCAACTTATTTTAAGCTCCTTAAATCCCTATACTCCCCCAGTTTCCATTTCATTTTCCATTTTCTTTTCAATTTGATTCTCCATTATAGGGGGATAATCCCTTAATTTAAGTTCCTTAACAGCAACCCAGAAGGTGGCCGTATACCGGAAGGAGATGGAGAAGCGAGGAGACAGCCCAGGCAAGCGCTTATAGGGTTTAGGGTTTAGGGCTTAGGGTTTAGGGTTTAGGGTTTAGGGCAAGCTGCAAAGGTGAGTATTTGGGTTCAGGGCTAAAGGTGCAAGGACTTGAGGGGTTACAGTACGGTTTTGGGGGTGTGATTCAGGGTTTTAAGGTGCAAGGGCTTCGACTTGGAGGGTTTAGGGTCTAGAAGTTTAGAGTTTGTGGATCCAAGGCTAGTTTCCAAAACAAATGTCCTATTACTACAACAACTCCGCAAATACTAGATGCCGTACACAATCTTTATATGGGTGGTTGTCAAAATTATGGTCTCTTTTTGGGTCCCTATTATGATACGGCACCTAATATTTAGGGTTCCCAAAGAGGGACCATAATTTTGACAACCACCCATATCCATAAGGGAGCCTTGCCTCTGAGAACGCCCCCAGTTACGTATGCAATGGCTTCGCATTGAGGATTTCAGCTTTGGGTATGAAGGTTTGCGAGCAGTGCGAATTTGGGTTTGGGTTTCAGCCTCCATGCTTGTCCAAGAAGCTAAGGTTGTACCTGGAAGTTTCCTGAACATGGTTTTACCTGTGTTTCTATTTGTCTAGCATCACTATTTGGGGTTCCCTGAAGATATCTATAACCCTAAACCCAAACCCTAAATTGCGGTATCTATATTTTTAAAATAACCCTAAACCTTAAAACCCTAAAACCCTAAACCAGATTTCCTAGCAGGGGTCCTGGGAACTAAGAGCTAACCCAATCCGGTGCTTGTCAAGTGCAGGAGTAGAGCCCGCGGTTTAGGGTTTGGGGCTTAGGGCTGGTATGACGCATGCTACAGCTCCTAGGTGGTGAAGCGAAAGTAGCAAGCGTCTAATAGTCTGGACTGATGTTAGGTGGGGATCCTTCATACATTTTGGGGTATGGGATGCCTTATACGTATGTAAAAAGGATCCTTTTTTCTTCTTAGGGTAATGTGGGCTAAGTAATGTAGAGTGCCTCACAACAACTGTCGTCGATGGCTCCTGCGGCGGGAGAGGGCTAGTAGTGACTATGCTCCGGTGTTTAACGTTGATCTCATGTTGAATGCCACTGAAGGCTGAGGGTACAGGTCACGGCCATGTCGAACCGAGAAGGGTTCGTAGTAGCTGTCAGTATGGGAATCAGCTATACGGTGTACGTATGAGATGCGTTTTTCCGCTCGTCAGTTTTACCCCTGCTTGCTGATGACGTGTGGGCGACCAGGAATTGCACCTGTAAGCTGAAGCCCAAAATCTATATAACAGCCGCTACGAGAACAGGTGCTGCTGTCTACGATCTGGTCCCAACCCCTTACAGAGTACCAGCTCATTGTGGGAGTTTCTCTTATCGGAGTACTGAGGGGACGTTAGGATTGTCTGGATGACAGAGCAGCTATTTGGCCCTATGAAGGGGTTGCATACGTAGAGATCGTCCAACCGACGTTTTGTTGGTGGATTCCATTTCTTTGGTTGCAGTCGGCGATGTTTAGGGGGGTTGAGTTTCAAACGTTCCCCAGGGCTCTAAGGCGAGAAGTAGTCTTTTCTTTGCGCGCAAGTAGACTAGCTATAGACCATGCGATAGTGTGCCTCCAAACCAGGTAACTCACAACCAGACATTCTCATGAAAGCCATACCTACCCTTTGAACCAAAACTACCCCTTCATTGACACTAGAGCTCTCTGCTCAATCCCTTCCCCCTAACATTGACCCCCAGGCCCACATGTGAGCTGTTACAGATCCCCCCTCATATTTGTGCTCTTATAAGTGGATTTTGATGTTCGAGTATATACCTGGGTGTTGGACATGAGGGAAGGGACTGGTAATTGAGAGCCACCCACATCTTACTATGGACTGTACCACAACTTTTAACACTTCAACTCTTTTCGAGTTCCTCTTTTTCAAGGAAAGTGTTAGAGAAGCCACTACGCCATGTTTGTGTTCGTGAGTGTTTTCGAACATGCATTAGGGAGAGCACAGGAAGCATTCTGAATGTTCACTGCAGAAGACAGCCTAACTGTCAATACCATTCTGTTCTTCTCCTGGTATAACTATAGCATACTATACACGGTTGTACACCTCAAAACGCCATTCCAATTATTGAAGCCTCTACATTACCTGTGCTTGCCACGGCTTGCCTGTGACACACCTGCTTGCGATACTGTAGGGCCCTAAGCACTTTCAATGATGGAGGGCAAAATTGAGATGAACACGGAGAGGCAAATGGAGAATGAGATGGAGAATGAACTCGGAGTTGGGTTGATGAAGGGGCGCTGCCCCAGGGCAATTCACCTCCTTAAAGGGGGTAATTTAGGGCATTATACCAGGGACTGCTATGGTAGGTTAAGGGGGATACTGGGAGTGTAGAATATGGCTCAGCTGAACCTGACCGTTTGCAGGTGGAAAGGCCGACGAGGACAATCTGCACTTCATCCCACGACAGGGGTTTTGTGGAGTTGACCGGGTGATCTCATTGGGCGGACAAGGCCGTAGGCGGCAAGAGGGAGGGTAAGGCTGGCATTCGTTGGAAAGATCAACGCGCTAGAGTTCTTTTGACTGCCATGTGCGGGTCTTTGTCCTGAACCCTAAACCCCTGAAACCCTGAACCTAGATTTTTTCTTGGTGTGTCCCCGAAATAGGGATCATATTAGGGGTTATAACTAACAAGGATCTGACTAGGGAGGTTACTAGGGATTAGAACAGGGATTGTAATAGTGATTATAGCAGGGATCCTAATCTAAAGGCCCTTCAAAGGAGGTGGTTTATTAATCACCCTAAATAGTAGTTTCCATTTTTCCATTACCCGTACATAATCCCTCTATCCCCCCTATATCTTTTTTCACCCCTATATTACCCCCATCAGGGTCTACTTTACATGGGGTGTTGCCTCGAGTAGGTCTCCGTCGGAGTTGTTGAGTGTATTTAATGGGGGTTTAGAGTTTAATTTAGGTGGACCCCCCACCCGGTAATAGTGACAAAAAGGGATAATAAGGATTATATCCGGGCCGTATGATAGCACTATTGCAGGGTGGGCGGTCCTCCTAAGGTTTACTGGTTATACAGGGGACTATATGAGGGCTATACAGCATTGTACGAGGTCTCTTTTGGAGTTGTTGAGTATAATTGTGCATGGTGACTCGCTCTCAGTTCAGAAGATCTGCATGCAAACTGCGGGCACCTTGTCCTGCCTAAAATCTAGACCCATGCGGGGCCTTTCTTGTGTCTCGTATGGTTCTGGTTAGGCTGCTTAGTAGGACCCCTTTCCCTTTGCTTTTTTTTTTCAACCCAGGATCTGTTACGTATACTACAAAGCATTGCCCGTTTGGTGGACAGTTCCAAAAATGTTCTGGCAAGCGTAGTAGGAGCGCTATACACTTACATTACTTATTGATTTTATGGGTTCTAAACCCTAAACCCTAAAATGTGAAGCTAGGCATCTCGGTTGTCAAGTGCTGATTGCACGTGCAAGTTAGAAAGTTTTGTGTGGCTCCATTTTGGACCACACCTCCTTAGCAGATCCACTTCGGATCACACCGCTGCCGCAATGGCAGAGAACCGCGATGCAGCGGCAGCCTCCAGTGCTTACGCCCTGTCGGAGACAGTCAACAGGGTGCACCAGGACCAGCTCTACGACCAGCGCATGCA